TTTAGCTTAATATACTATTTGTTTGGCTTTATACAAATTTTTAAAAAGTGTCCACAATAATATGATACCCCCCTGTATACAAATTTTGTAATATTAAACCACATAAACAAATAAACTTGTTTCTCATTACCCAGCTGAGTGACTTTTTTATTAAAATCAAAATGTTTTTTTATATAAATATATATATAAAGTAAAAAGTAGTAATACAGGCCAATGGAAAATTATAGGCCAGAGCCAGCCTATATTACTAGTAAAAAGCTGTAATTTATATTAATAAATCTGGTTTTTTTGCTTTATAGTACTTGATACATGATCGATTACAAGATAAACAGTACTTTTGAATATTAATAGTAATGATTTATGAACTTATTTATTATTAATGATCTTTACTTCAAGCAGAGTAGCTTAAAGTATAGCTTGTTAAGACAAAAAATCAAATTGAATTTATAACAAAAAAAATGCAAATTCATTTTCGTAGCATTATCTTTAAAACCTTGCACTTTGTTATAGCTTGGACTACTACTACTTTGTAAAGATCTTCTTTTATATTACTTTTTTTTTTTCTTTGAACTAAATACCTTTGGCTTTCTTTTTTTTATTCTTTACTATAGTATTATATTTGAAGCAATACGGCTATTGACCAGTGGAAGTTGGTGAAAGGATTTCTAAATTACTATACTGAAAACAAATATTCAGATAAAGGTGAGAGATGAAATATAAAATTTCCATTAGTGTTAAACAGATAAGTTTGGCATTAACAAATACATAGTTAAACAATGTTTTTAATAATAAAATACTATCCAAATTTTGTTCTGTAGATAATTTATTGACAGACTTATCATAATCACCTATATCTTCAATATCATTGTTATAGTTTTTATTCAAACTATTATTCTTATTCAAACTGTTATTTTTATACAAACTATTATCCTCATTCAAATTATCCTTACTCAAATTGTTATTCTTATTGTTATCCTCATTTAAATTGTTATCATTATCTAAATTATTATTCTCATCTGTATTACAATTTTTATCATTTAGAAATAACAGTGAGTTGGCTTTGTAAGATCTAAGATTTTATAAAATAGTATACTACATATATAATCTATTGTTTCTATAAAATTTAAAGGAAAATTTTCCTTTTCTGGTTTTAGACAGTATTGCAAATAAAGAATGCATAGTTTGTTGTATTCAATATATTTAACCAAGATGTGTACATTTGCTATATATTGTGCTCAGAAACTAAAACCTATACTGTTAATATCAAGACTATTACCAGTTATGGAAGTTGATAATAATTTGGATACACTAACTTTTTGAAGTGAAGATGATTGATATTTTTCGCTTGTCTCTTTGCTATATATTTCACAAAATGATTATCATTTGCTTTGGAAATAGAGTCAAGAAGGGTCGCAGCTTTGAGAATATATCAAACACACTCTACAAATCATACAACTAGTTTCAGCTGCTTGACACTTTTTAATTTCAAAAAAATAAGTTCTTGAAAACAACAATGGCTTATAAATTCAAAGATATGGGCTATAAATATTTATATACACAATTTATAAATGCAAAAAAAATTTTTTTTTAATACATATTCAAAACTAACCTTATTTTTAATATGCTTCTTAGATATATCTTCAGGCACCAATAAATCATCCACTTCAAGTACTAACTTCTATAAACGTTCCAAATCTTGCTCAGTTGCTAAGGATAGTGTTATTAATCACCTGATTATTTTTTATCAGAGGCCTACCCCCCTCCCCCTTCCTTAATATACAAATAGTCAGGTTCCTATATATAATTTCAACTTTTTTTACCTCTCCCCTAAAAAATCACCTGGTTTTTGTGCTTATATAGAGGTCTTTTTTTCTATAGATTTATAATAGTTGATTTTAAAATAGATGTGCTTATAAAGAGGTTTTTATATGATATGCTTATATAGGGGGTGACTATAGAGAGGAAGACTGTATATAGTTTAATTTTATAATGTTAAGTGATATATAAGATATAAATATTAGTATAACTTATTATTATTGAAATAACATTAAAATAATGTTTTCAAGATTAATTTTCACACGTAGTATAATCTTTTTTTATTGACTGTTTTCAAAATTTAAAACTTACTGTAAATACTGTATAGTCAGTATAATAATAAATACTAATAATATTGTCTTCTAAGCCAAGTTTTTAGTGATATTGATCTATACTGATCTTTTTCGCTTATAGACGTATAAGAAGAAATTTTTTAATTAAAAATTTGTTTATGTTGTGTGACTCAGTGACCTTCAAGCCAATCAAATCGAATGTTCACAATGTTTTAAAACACCAAATTAACGCGATTAAACATCAGATTAACGCGGTTGTTTACATGAATAATGGACAACAATCAATATCTTGGCTACAATGGTAAGACGTAGGGATACTTGCTGACAAATCCCAAACCATCAAAAGCGATTGATTAGTTTGGCCAAAGTTTGGGATTTGACCGGCAAGTATATTTATAGGTAAAAATTTTTCCTCTTAACTTACAAACAGAACTTATCGCTTACCTGAAGGCCCATGATCCTGAATCTGGTCTTGCACTGAATTCTTAAATATCTACCATGATGTTATATTGGAGTCAACGTCAGCCTCTGACGAATGGACAGGCTTGAATGGTACCATGGGTACGGCGTTTTTTGCGTGAAGCAAATTTGATGAGTCCAAAAAACGCTTTTAATATAGAAAAAAGGGTATTATTTTACTATTTGCATCGTGCGATAGTTGGCAATAGGGGGCTTTTGTCAGCTCTCATCCTGATTAAAAGTTATCTAGTTCTCATCCTAGCCCTAGTGATGGTGATGCGCGCTCCTAATCAGCTCTCATCCTGACTTCGGGGTATCAGCTCTCATCCTGTGCCAAACCATTTGCGACTTGCCTTTAATTTACTATAATGTGTGTTTCTTGTTTCGGTTTTCATCCTTACAATTTGCTTTAATTTTTGTAATAGGTAAAATTAGAGACTGCAAATTATAAACTTCAAGACTATTGGGAAACTATCATCTTAGAAAAGAAACAGGTAAGATACACAAAGTTTATTAGTCGGGCTTAGGGCATAACGGTCAGAAGTTGGTTACTAGATATAATGCTAGTTTTTTCCGGAAGTTATTGAAAGTAAGTAATAGACTTTCTCGGGAATATTATACAGTTTACTGGCGGTCATTGACCAGTCCTAAAATTACATATTCTAGATTCCTGAGAAATCTATTACTTTTAATAAACAAAATCATTAATAGCACGTAACGGTGAGAAAAAAAAATCAGCGCAATCTAGTAATTGGCTTCTGGCTGACTTGTAATCATTGAATCTCTAGTTGGGCTATAAAAATAAACCTCTGTCACTTTTTACCATTACTTAACATTTTTAAAATAGATATCAGTAAAGCGTAAACATCTTGCAGGAGGCTTGGATTTACTTTATGCATCTGAGAAAAGTAACGCCCAACATATACTCTCAGATGAAAAGAAGGAGTAATTTTGCCAATGTCAATAGTCAGACTCCTATTGGTCATGAGGTTGGTGTTATCAATATATTTCAATTATTTGACTTAAAACTAGCTTATTGGATAGTCTGGACCTACTTTTACGAATTATGATGATGAATCTGATGAAAGTAATGTGGAGTGTGAGTTAAGGCTAAATGTAGACGAAATCGGGTTCGACGAATATATTGAACAAGGAAATAAATATGTAAGTTTTTTTTTTTTCTAACAAACAATTGCAAATAATGCCGTTTGATAGTTCATTTTCAAAAAAAAAAAAAAAAAACATATCGTCATTATTTGGATCATATAAATCCAAAGCGTTAGCTCTCGCACGAAATTCTGGTTTAAAGGTAACGGAAAACTATCACGAAATATTGTAAGTAGGACTTCTAAATAGGTTACATTTTCTAAAAAAGTAAATTTATTGATAAAAGATATCCTCTTTTAGGAGTCTTTCTCACATCCTTTTACTACAAACGGATAACTACTCAGAAATGCAATTGAAAAAATTTTCCAAGGACACACTTGAGAACTTGAGAATGCACGTTAAATCAAATTTTGTTAGGAAAGAAAAGGTGTCAAGAGACATAAAATCTAGCCTGCAAGAGTATATTGAAGTATGTATTTCTCAATTATATTATTACCTTTTCTCTGTATTTCCTTTATTAGTTATCTTGTTTTAGACTGCTCTTGACGGTGATGATGGTGGATTATATAAACTCCGCGAAACAATTGTAAGCTCTTTTTCGAAAACATTTGATTTGACAACAGATGGAATTTTTTTGACGAATGCAGTTTATATTTCAATATTTGTAAGTTTATTCTCTTCCTTTTTATTCAAACATATTCATGAATTAACTGTTTTCCGATAATTGCTTTGTAGGTCTTACACTATCCCAATAAATTCCTTAAGGGAAAAATCAACGAAGGAACTTTGATCGCAAATTTAATACTATAATAACGTGGGATCGAACTTGCTACTTTTTCCCGGGGGCTTCAGAGAAGCCCGTGCTTTAAGACTTGACTCACCATCCGGATACGTGTGCCGTATCACACGCTCAAAAACATTAAACATCCCCTCATTAGTGTCCGAATTTGACAATAAGGCTCTCCCAACCATTTTACTAGCTTGGGCGGCAAAGGTAAAATTTTTTTGTCTTTTGGTGGCAATACCAGGTGGGTCAAAGAATCTTAACAACCATAATTCAACAATTGCAGAATTATGATCATTAAGAATCTTAACGATCATTAAAGTAGAATGCGCCACATCATAGTGTGGGCCCGTACTTTCGATCATCATTTATGCTTCGTCACGGTAAGTCCAGTGATCGAATTTTTTTCATGATTCTTACATACACCCAACAATATGGCCAAACACATCTAACACTTATGAACTAAATAGAAATAATGAAACAAATTATCGATTATGTCGTGTTTTAAATTTTGATCGGGCAATCGCTTCTGAGAAAATGACCACCAATATAAAAGACATTAATAGTTTAATTTTAAGTGGCGCAAAGGTCAGAAAGCTTGCAGCAGCAATAGTGACTAGAGATGGGCAAGGTAATAATGTAAGTAATAATTACTTATTTTTTACCCCAATAAATACACATACATATTATTACT